AACTCGAACAGCACAGCATCTACCATGTGTTAGCCTCATGCCCCTAATCTGAAATTTTTATATATTTTTGAGACAGCATCTTGCCTTGTTACTTAGGTTGGAGTACAGTGGCATAATCACAGCTCACTGTAGCCTCAACTCCCTGGGCTCAAGCAATCCTTCCACCTCAGCCTCCCAAGTAGCTGGGACTACAGGTATGCATCATCATGACTGGTGGAATTTTTTTTTTTTTTTTTTAATTTTTGTAGAGATGGAGTCTCACTATGTTGCCTAGGCCAGTCTTGAACTCCTGAACTTAAGCAATCCTTCCACCTTGGCCTCCCAGAGTGCTAGAATTATGAGTGTGAGCCACCACAGCTAGCCAATGTTTTTTAAACATTAATAAATATGTATTGTGTTATCTGTTTTCTCTAAGATCCTTTAATTCTATTTCTTTGTTTTGCTCTTTTTCTTCCTGTTAGTGGTCCTCTTCAAATGTCTGATAATTCTTGGACAGCCAAGACACAAGTACTCAAAAAGCTGATCAGAAGTTCTAGGTGTTTGTCAGAGAGGGGAAGAAAGAACTCATTGACTGGTGGAATTCACTGTAGAGAGAGAAGCCAGCAAACGAACTTTTTTTTTTTTTTTGAGAAATCCCAAATGTCAGTATTTATAGGTGTTTTTCTTGACTTGGTCAGTTTCCACAGAAAGGTACCCTCTCATTTTCTCCCTGGGAGTATATGTCTGGCTGTCAATGTTTCGATTGCCAGAGGGGAAAGAGGGTTAGAAGACTCATTTGAAACTCTGACTTTCTTTTTCTTTTTTTTTTTTGTAATTATACTTTAAGTTCTAGGGTACATGTGCACCACATGCAGGTTTGTTACATATGTATACATGAGCCATGTTGGTGTGCTGCACCCATTAACTCGTCATTTACATTAGGTATATCTCCTAATGCTATCCCTCCCCCCTCCTCCCACCCCACAACAGGCCCTGGTGTGTGATGTTCCCCTTCCTGTGTCCAAGTGATCTCATTGTTCAATTCCCACCTATGAGTGAGAACATACGGTGTTTGGTTTTCTGTTCTTGCAATAGTTTGCTGAGAATGGTGGTTTCCAGCTGCATCCATGTCCCTACAAAGGACACGAACTCATCCTTTTTTATGGCTGCATAGTATTCCATGGTGTATATGTGCCACATTTTCTTAATCCAGTCTATCATTGATGGACATTTGGGTTGGTTCCAAGTCTTTGCTATTGTGAATAGTGCCACAATAAACATACGTGTGCATGTGTCTTTATAGCAGCATGATTTATAATCCTTTGGATATATACCCAGTAATGGGATGGCTGGGTCAAATGGTACTTCTAGTTCTAGATCCTTGAGGAACTCCAACTTTCATTAAATCCTCATTTCCTTATAGTCTGTTACCCATACCTTTGTATACCTGTACCTGCCATGCTTAAACCTTTCATGTCCCAACCCTGCAGAGATTAATGGACCTTTCACTTTTTGCCAGAGTTTGGGAATAGAGTTTGCCTAGCCTGGCATGGGAGGCAGTGAGAGTGTCCAGGGGAGCTCACTGCTCCTTACACAGACTTTCTGCACTCCCTTTTCTTTTGTCAGTCCCGCACAACTCCAGCATTCAATGGTAGGCTCCTCCCCCTACCTCAGGGAATCTTTTTGGTCTGAGGTGAAGGGTAACTCTTCCTTATTTATCCTGTAACCACCCAAATCTCTTATCTGTTCATTCCCTTCCTTCAAAGCCTCGGCCTTTGAAATTCAAAAGCTAAGGAATTATACCTCTTTTCTCTGCCTTCTGCCCTCGTACTCCTTACATAACAATCTGCTTGACTGATTGGGGCCGAAAGTCAAATGGTAAGAGAATACTTGGAAAAAAATATCAGTTAAGACTTCAAAAAATATTGTCCTATTGCACTATTATTATACAGTACTGTCTTAGTTCAGACTGCTATCACAATCATATCATAGACTGGGTGTTAAACAACATAAATATATTTCTTACAGTTCTAGAGGCTGGGAAGTTCAGAATTAAGGTGTGGACAGATTCAGTTCCTGGCCTATTGTGTGGACAGCTGCCTTTTTGCTGTGTCCTCACCTGGCAGAAAGAGAACTAAATCTTGGATCTCTTCTTATAAGGTCACTAATTCCATTCATGTGGGTTCCACCTTCATAATTTAATTATCTTCCAAAGGCCTTATTTCCAAATACCACTACATTGGAGATTAGAGCTTCAAGATATGAATTTGGGAGGTGAACACCAACATTCAGTCTGTAGCAAGTATCCACTAGGTGAGGTCACTGTAGGTACCTCAACTACATTTTCTATCAGTCTTCTCAACAACCCATTCTATAGATGAAAACTGATGTTTGGAAAAGGTAAATAACTTGTCCAAAGTCACACAGTCAGTATGTCACAGAGCAGGCATTTGGTATCTGATTAAACACCAAGCTGATGTCCTTTCCACAGTAGCAAGTGGCCTCCTGTGAGTTCATAATAAAGCTTTGAAAGTAGCAACCAGAATCTAGGATTTCTTCTTGTTTGACTAGATAACAAAAGGAATTTTGATTATGATTCTTCAAGAGTACTTACTTATTATGTCTCCTTTCATTGGTTGTTAAATTTTACCATACATCGTCTAGTTTTCTAGGTTATTTAGAGACTGGCGCATGCATTTCAGCAAATCAAACTTATTTGGGAAAGCACATATTTGTGTTATTCAGCAGTATCTGTATTTACTATCCAAACATCTGGCAATTAACTTTCAGTGCTGACACAATTTCCAACAAATTACAGAGCATTTACAACAGTGTACTATATGACACAGAATTCCTGGTTTTAGTGAGATCCTCCTAAATACCTGGTAACTGAATCAAACCTTTCAAAAGCCACCATTGGTGGAGGTGGGTTCTGTGCCTCAAAGATCCCTTAAGGACCTTAGGATTTAGCACAAAGCCAGTCAGTTCCTAGCCATGTTCATTTCTTCATTAGATGCTCAGAATCAGGAAGAGAGACAGAAGGGAGAAGGACTAATCCATTAATTACATTTAAAAGGAAGCCACAGAAGCCAACACAGATACAAGTGTTGTTGGCTGTCTGAGGTCTCCCCTGGCTTAGTGAGACTGCGTTATTTTCAGCTCTGCTGCAAGAACTACTGCCTTCTCCAGCCCTGCCAGCACCTCTCCCCATTTGAGTCTTTACCAAGAAGTCTATCTAATCTACTAAGAAGTGATAGTTTGGAATAGGTATAAGCTAGAGGTGAATCCATTAGCTAGAGTGATTATCCAGACTCAAGGAAAACTGTAAGTAGGAAAGTTTGCTATGAGGCTCTCTTAGCTTTCCCTTCAGGATTCATCTTGCCATCTCTCTTTCATTTACCACTTTTGGGTGGCTGCCTAATGTTGAAGTCCCGTAGGAATTCTTTCCACCAGATCTTCCTCTCACTAAGTTCAGATGAACAGTCATATGTAATTAAGGTGCAACGTCTCAACAACAAGTCTCCAGAGCTAAAAGGAAACTCTAAAATAGTGGCATTTCAGGCATCACAATAGGAAAAGAGTTGGGTGCCTTCAGTTCATATTTGCTGTGACCCCAATTGAGAGTTGGGATAATAAACAAAAGTAAGTTCCAAAAAATTCAGAACATCCCCTGAGTCTACTAGGATGGCCCTCCAGAATCTCCTTAAATGCTCCGCAAATTTAAAGCCAAAACTCTGTGTCTTCTAAAACTCTGAATTTGTCTGGTGTCTCTGGTTAGGAGTGGTCACATGACCTAAGAAAGCCAACACATCCTTCTGCAGTGGGTAAATGGCTCCCTCAGTTCAGATCTGTTGGATCAGCTGCCAGGTCAGCACCCTCTCACTGGAGAAGCAGAAAATCCATGGGTTTTGCTGTTTAGTTGAGAAAAAAAAAAACAGGCTCTCCTTCTGTTGTGAAAAATTTCAATCTGCAAAGGCATGTGTTTCTAAAATGACTAATCATTCAGGGTTTCAGTTGCTGCTATTGTTTTTTAGAATTTTGTTTAATTTAGTGCTGTTATAGGTAATCGTTTTGCTACTGATCACCTTTCACTACTGAGTATTTCATTTTTTTAGGCATGTGATAAAAATTCAGCAATGATAAGATTTGTGTGGGGAGGCTGAATGAATAATTACATTTATGCATTTGTTGTGGCTAATTCTGTTGGAGTTATGTTATGTGTGTGCTCATGTGTGACCTATTATTTTAGTTTTGGAGCCCAGTTTTAGTTTTGGGGATTTACTGCAACTGTGAGTGACTCCATGTTACACATAAATGTGTCTTTGTTGGCTCCCTCCATCTCCCTTTTCTCTTCATGTTTCTTTTTTTTTTGGAGACAGTCTTGCTCTGTTGCCCAGACTAGAGTGCAGTGTCATGATCTCGGCTCACTGCAACCTCCGCCTCCTGGATTCAAGTAATTCTCCTGCCTCAGCCTCTCAAGTAGCTGGGATTACAGGCATGTGCCACCATGCCCGGCTAATTTTAGTATTTTTTTTTTTTTTTTTTTGAGATGGAGTCTTGCTCTGTCACCCAGGCGGGGGTGCAGTGGCGCGATCTCGGCTCACTGCAACCTCCGTCTCCCTGGTTTAAGCAATTCTCCTGCCTCAGCCTCTCAAGTAGCTGGGACTACAGGTGCATGCTGTCATGCCCAGCTAATTTTTTGTATTTTAGTAGAGACGGAGTTTCACTGTGTTGCCCAGGCTGGTCACGAACTCCTGAGCTCAGGTAATCCTCCCGCCTCGGCCTCCCAAAATGCTGGGATTACAGGCATGAGCCACCGTGCCCGGCCCATGTTTCTCTTACATGTCTTTGATTTTAACTTTCACCCAGATGACTCCCACTTCTATATCTGCATACCTGACCTGACTACTGGTTTCTCGCTGTGTGCTGGGCACTTCCTCCTGCAGGCTCGCTGATAACTGAAACACGGAGTTCCCCTTCATCTCCACAAACTCTTCATTTCCCCCAGCCAGCAACTGCTCCTTCCTATTGCATTCCGTCTGCTCCTGCCTTCTGCCCTGCAGTTTAACCAGTTCGGGGCTTCCTCACAGGCAAAGTCTTCCTGGGCCAACTCACCTGGCAGGGACCTCCTGTGAGATGGGACTGGATGCAGGGTCAGGCAGGGACATTTGGGATTTCAACTGTGCCCTGGTTAATTATGGGAGTGTGGCAATTTTCTTTCCTTCTATGAACCTTCATTTTCAGTGAGACTGTCCTGATCTACCCCGTGGAGTAGCTGATGGGATTATGTAAACGTTTATCTGAAGCTTTTGAAATGTTTGCCTCCGTTCCTACTCTTCACTGGCGTTCTCCAAAGTGGGATGTGAGCGTGGGGCCCCTGACACTTCTTTGGAGCACGGTAAGAAGATACTAAAATATCTATTTATATTTATTTTATCTAAAAATGTAAATTCTGCTTTGCTAATATTCTGCTTTGCTAATATTCAATGTTTGTTTTGACTCCTGGCACTCACCCCTGTGAATTGTACTAGATAATATGATCCTTCTAGTACAACTGAGGGCCATGATGCCTGTGTCAGGTGTGCTGTTGGAGAGGCCTCAACTCAGAGGGGGGTGGGCGGCACCCTCCTATAGCCCCCCAGTGCATTTTGACCACTTGTAACTGATGTGAGCCCAGTTTAGTGGATTTATGGGTTATGCTTTCTAATTTAACGAAAACATCCACCTGATCCATGGATAAGTGACTGGAAAGAAACTGTGGTTGAAATAGAATTAATAATGCAAGCTCAGGAAAGCATGGGAGTGGCCAAGGGGTCCCCTCTTCTAATCCTTGTCTGAGCTCTTTTTCAGTCCATGTCTTCCTGAGATATAACTTCCTATAATTCAAGAAACAACTTGGGAGCTAGTTTGGTCCCACCAAAATAATTGGCCAATGATGTTTCTGTATAGGATGTTATTTTAAAGGAATTCTACTCTTTTCTATTTCAGAGATTGATCTTATCCTCCATCTCCCCAGTTCTGGGTCTCTCTCCTGCTGGTTCACAGGTGTGACATTGTGTGGTAAATATGCTTTCTTTTTTTTTTGAGATGGAGTCTCGCTCTTGTTGCCCAGGCTGGAGTGCAATGGCACGATCTCAGCTCACTGTAAACTTTGCCTTCTGAGTTCAAGCAATTCCCCTGCCTCAGCCTCCTGAGTAGCTGGGATTATAGGCTTATGCCACCACACCTGGCTAACTTTTATATTTTTAGTAGAGACAGGGTTTCACCGTGTTGGCCAGGGTGGTCTCTAACTTCTGACCTCAAGTGATCTGCCCACTTCGGCCTCCCAAAGTGCTGGGATTATAGGCGTGAGCCACCGCACCTGGCCTAATATAATTTCTATAGAGTGCATGACATGGGCACAATGGCCATATGTTAACGTATTTTTAAATTCAACTAAACATTATATTTTAAAAATTATTAAAGTAATATATATTCAATATAGAAAATGCAGTTACCATAGAAGAAGAAAGTAAAAACGAAAATCATAGCACTTGGGATAGCAGCTGACAGCTGACATTCCTTTTTGTGCCTATCTATTTCTTTTTGTCAAAAATAGATTGTATTGGACACCCTATTCTGTAAACTACTTAAAATTTTTTATGTAGTAATCCATCCAAGGATTAGCTAAATTAAAGCTACTCCAAAATTGTCTGAGAACAACTGAAAGGCTAAAAATATCTCCTTAATCCAAATTTTATGGTCACATTTTCTTTTATTAATTTTCTTAATCTTTTACTCTTTTCATGGGTAAGAAATCAATGTTATTTATTTGTCTTATGTTCCTGCAGAATTCTCAGCCTGGCAATCAGCTTCTGGGAAAGATTTCAGATTTTTTTTTGTTTTTTAGTCTTCTTTTTTTTGAGACGGTGTCTTACTTTGTCACCTAGGCTAAAGCACAGTTGGACCATCACAGCTCACTACAGCCTCGACCTCTTGGGCTCAAGCAATCCTCCCAACGCAGCCTCCTGAGTAGCTGGGACTATAGGTACACACCACCACATCCATCTAATTTTTAAATTTTTTTGATAGAGATGGGATCTCACTATGTTGCCCAGGCTGGTTTTGAACTCTTGCACTCAAATGCTCCTCCCTGCCTCAGTCTCCCAAAGTGCTGAGATCATAGATATGAACCACTACACCTAGCAAGATTTCAGAGTCTTCTGCAACCTCAGTAATCTCTGTTTTATGTAAGAGGCAAGAAGCCCTGCCAGGCAGAGAGAATAATGAGAGCTATTGCTCACTCTGCTGTTCTGCTGCAAGCTTCTCCTGCTTTGCTTTTCCTTTTCCATTGACTTCTAATAATATGAGTGGTTCAGACCACAGACTGGGCACGTCCAAAACAAGGGAGAGAAAAAAAGGAGGAGAGGGAGAGTAGGGAGTCCTGACGAAATCGCCCATGTGGAGTAATGCAGCATGCTCATGTATTGAGGCAAAGAAAAACAATTCTTTTTTTTTCTGAGACAGACTTTTGCTCTTGTTACCTAGGCTGGAGTGCAATGGCCCAATCTCGGCTCACCACAACCTCCGCCTCCCGGGTTCAAGTGATTCTACTGCCTCAGCCTCCCGAGTAGCTGAGATTACAGGCATGTGCCACCATGCCTGTCTAATTTCATATTTTTAGTAGAGATGGGTTTCCCCATTTTGGCCAGGCTGATCTCTAACGCCTGACCTCAGGTGGTCCGGCGGCCTCGGCCTCTCAAAGTGCTGGGATTACAGGCATGAGGCACCACGCCTGGCTGAAAAGCAGTTCTTTTAAGTGAAGACTCACACTGCAAAGGTAATTGCAACCTTGTTCCCTTTTGCTTAATGGTGATTTTTTCATGTATATGAACCATATCTCAATTATTATGCTTTTGAGAGGGCAAAGACTATGTCCTTTTCATCCTTTTGATCCCCATATTATCAAGTACAGTGATTTTTACCAAGTGAACACTCACTAAACATTTGTTGTTTGTGATGATAATTATGATAATAGGGTAGCATGCACAATAAAATACGGAATCTCCACAAAAAAAAAAAATAGCAGTTTTAGCTAATTCACAGATGACGTGACGTGATTGACTAGAATGAAAACTCAAAAGAATCGACAGACATTTATTGGAGCTGATAGGAAAATACAGCCAGTTTGCTGGGTTTATATGGAATATCCAAAAGTCAGTTGATTTTTTATAGTTTTATGCGTTGAATGGTGGTTCCCAAAAGATATGTCCACATCCGAATGCCCACAACATGTAAATATACTTATATAGTTAAAGAGTGGATAGTACCTCTTATGACAAAAAAAGGTGTTTATGTTAAGGATTTTTTTTTTTTTTTTTTTGAGATAGGGACTCACTTTGTCACCCAGGCTGGAGTGCAGTGGCACAATCTCCGCTCATTGTAATCTCCACCCTCCAGGCTCAAGCGATCCTCTTGTCCCAGTCCCACAAGTAGCTGGGACCATAGATGTGAGCCACTGTGCCTGGCTAACTGTTGTATTTTTTTGTAGAGACAGGGTTTCCATGTGTTGCCCAGGCTGGTCTCGAACTCCTGAGCTCAAACGATCCTCTTGCCTTGGCCTCCCAAAATGCTAGGATTACAGGCATGAGCTACCGCATCCGGCAAGTTAAGGTTTTTTGAGAAGAGAAACTTGTCTTAGATTATCCAGATGAGTCCCAAGTCCGGTGACAAGGGTGAGACACATGGAGATTACACACACACAGGAGAAGGCCATATAGAGACAGAGGCAGAGGTTGAAATGATGCAGCCACAGCCTAAGCAGAAATGCCAGGGCAGGCCAGGCGCAGTGGCTCATGCCTGTAATCTCTGCACTTTGGGAGGCTGAGGCGGGCGGATCTCCTGAGGCCAGGAGTTTGAGACCAGCCTGGCCAACATGGTGAAACCCCGTCTCTACTAAAAATACAACAACAAAAAATTAATCAGGCATAGTGGCGGGCGCCTGTAATCCCAGCTACGTGGGAGGCTGAGGCAGGAGAATCACTTGAACCCGAGAAGTGGAGGCTGCAGTGAACGGAGATTGCACCATTGCACTCCAGCCTGGGCAACAGTGCAAGACTCCATCTCAAAGGAAAAAAATAAAGAAATGCCAAAGAACCTACCAGCAGCTGGAAGAGGTGAGGAAGAATTTTCCCTCACAGCCCCTGGGGAGAGCATGGCCCTGCTGGATTTTGTATTTTTAGCCTCTGTAACTGTGACAGAATAAATTTCTGTTGTTTTAAAGCCACTAAGTCAGTGGTAGTTTGTTATTGCAGGCTCAGAAAATTAATACAAGAGTGTCCAGAAGAACAGAGGGCTGCGATTAAGAACATGTGCTCTGGAGCCAGACTTCCTTTGTCAGAATCTCCACTCCACCAGTTACTAGTTAAGTAATGTAAGGCACACTAGGTAACAGCACAGGGCTTGCTGTGAGTCTAGAGCATGTAGACCTGTGAGTGGTATATTGTGAACATGGAACACACGCTAGTCATTTTTATCATCATCCTCATTACTAACATTATTATTATTACCAGCATAGTTAGAAAGTGCAGCATGAGGCCGGGCACAGTGGCTCGTGTCTGTAATCCCAGCACTTTGAAAGGTGGAGGTGGGAGGATCGCTTGAGTCCAGGAGTTCAAGACCAGCCTTGGCAATATGTTGACACCTGTCTCTACAAAAAATTTAAAAATTGGCCAGATGTGGGGGCATGCGCCTGTAGTCCCAGCTACGTGGAAGGCTGAGGTGGGAGGATTGCTTGAGCCCAGGAGGTTGAGGCTGCAGTGAATCATGTTTGTATTACTATCTGTATTTACCACTATCTGTATTTTGTAATAATAATTCCCCTGCTGTTCTTAATAATTTAATCACATATTGTTTAGTTTTTGCCTGTTTATAAAGGGTACATATTTGTCTCTGACTTTTTTTTCTTTTTTATGAGACAGAGTCTCACTATGTTGCCCAGGCTGGAGTACAGTGGCACAATCCTGGCTCACTGCAACCTCTGCCTCCCAGGTTCAAGCAATTCTCCTGCTTCAGCCTCCTGAGTAGCCAGGACTACAGGTGCCCGCCACCATGCCCAGCTAATTTTTCTACTTTTAGTAGAGACGGGGTTTCCCCATGTTGGCTAGGCTGGTCTTGAACTCCTGACCTCAGGTAATCCATCTGCCCCAGCCTCCCAAAGTGCTGGGATTACAGGTGTAAGCCACCGTGCCCAGCCAATCTTCCAGTTTTTTTTGTTTTTTTGTTTTTTGTTTTTTTTTTTTTTAGATGGAGTCTCACTCTGTTACCAGCTTGGAGTGCATCGGCGAGAGCTCGGCTCACTGTAAACTCCACCTCCCCAGTTCAAGCAATTCTCCCATCTCAGCCTCCCGAGTAGCTGGGACTACAGGCACGCGCCAGCATGCTGAGCTAATTTTTTTTTGTATTTTTAATAGAGACAGGGTTTCACCATGTTGGCCAGGATGGTCTCTAAATGCTTACTCTATTGAGAAAGGAAATTTATATACATGTATTGAGAAGTGCTTTCAGAAAATGCATCCCTAAAAAAATCCATCCTTTAAGTGACTTACATTACATTTATGATTTTAACAAACTGTTAATCAACAAACTTTTTTTTTTGAGACAGAGTTTTGCTCTTCTTGCCTAGGCCGAAGTGCAATGGCGTGGTCTCAGCTCACCACAACCTCCACTTCCCGGGTTCAAGCGATCCTCCTGCCTCAGCCTCCTGAGTAGCTGGGACTACAGGCATGCGCCATGATGCCCGGCTAATTTTGTATTTTCAGTAGAGATGGGGTTTCTCCATGTTGGTCAGGCTGGTCTCGAACTCCTGACCTCATGTAATCTGCCCGCCTCGGCCTCCCAAAATGCTGGGATTACAGGTGTGAGCCACTGGCCTGGCCAACAAACACTTTTTAAAAAATACATAGTATCTTAAGAAAATCATCCACAGAAAATGAAGTTAGTAAGCCAGTGAAGCCAAAATCAGAGTTTAAAAACAATATATATAAGCAAGTATCTTCTCAGGGGAGTACTGTACGAGATGGTGAAGAGGAGATGGTGCGACTGATACATCCTGATTCTGGATGTTTGTATCTCTAACTAGCTCAATGTTTTTTTTTTTTTTTTGTTCTGAAGTCTCAAAGTCTTGCTCTGTCACCCAGGCTGGAGTGCTCGGCACAATCACGGCTCACGACATCCTCTGCCTCTCAGGTTCAAGCAATTCTCCTGCCTCAGCCTCCTGAGTAGCTGGGACTACAGACACGCACCATCACATCTGCCAATTTTTGTATTTTTAGTGGAGATGGGGTTTCACCATGTTGGCCAGGCTGGTCTCGAACTCCTGACCTCAAGTGATCTGCCCGCCTTGGCCTCCCAAAGTGTTGGGATTACAGGCATGAGCCACTGTGCCTGGCCAAACTAGCTCAATTGTTAGCTCTATTACAAGTAGGAGAAGGAATGGTAAAGGCGCTATGAAGCAACTAAAGAAACAGGAACACATGCTCTCAGATGGGAGGAGGGAAATTCAACGGCTGTGCTGAAACAAGAAAAGTGGAAGAGGCCGGGCCCGGTGGCTCACGCCTGTAATCCCAGCACTTTGGGAGGCCGAAGTGGGTGGATCATATGAGGTCGGGAGTTCAAGAACAGCCTGACCAACATGGAGAAACGCTGTCTCTACTAAAAATACAAAATTAGCTGGGCATCATGGCGCACACCTGTAATCCCAGCTACTCGGGAGGCTGAGGCAGAAGGATCTCTTGAACCTGGGAGTTGGAGGTTGTGGTGAGCTGAGACTGCGCCATTACACTCCAGCCTGGGCAACAAGAGCGAAACTGCATCTCAAACAAAACAAAACAAACCAACAAAAAACGAAAAAAAAAGTGTAATCAGAAATGCAATGTAAATCACTTAAAGGATGGGTTTTTTAGGGTTGCATTTTCTGAAAACGCTTCTCAATACATGTATATAAATTTCCTTTCTCAATTCAGTAAGCATTTATGGAATATATACCATATGCCCACCCAATGTCAAGGGTGAGGATGTTCCAGGGAATGAGTGTGTTACAGTTAAAGAGTCATCACTTTGAGACTATTGATGTTTTCATTAAGAAGGCTCTTATAGGTGACTTTTTGTATCTGATTTTTAAACGTAACAAGGGAAATGTGAAAGTTCTTATTAAGTTTTCATGATCATCAGGTTAGCTTTCTACCATAAAGTAGTAGGTTTATATTGTTTGGACACTATAAACAGCTTTTTTTTTTTTTTTTTTTTGACAGAGTCTCACTCTGTCACCCAGGCTGGAGTGCAGTGGTGTAATCTTGGTTCACTGCAAACTCTGCCTCTTAGGTTCAAGAGATTCTCGTGCCTCAGCTTTCTGAGTAGCTGGGTTCACAGGCAGGACCATCACGGTCGGCTAATTTTTGTATTTTTAGTAGAGACAGGGTTTCACCATGTTGGCCTGCCTGGTCTCGAACTCCTGACCTCAGATGATCCACCTGGCTTAGCCTCCCAAAGTGCTGGAATTACAGGCATGAGCCACTGCACCTGGCCTAGAAACAGCTTTTTAAGTTAGTGTGCTTTTAAAAAATTAAAAATAGATGGTTAATGAAGAAACAAAAACTTCAATTAATCAGAGGTGTGGATACAAATGTTTGGCTGACACGCCTATTTTATTTCGATTTAGACTTCTTTTTCAAAGAAAATTTTTGACTAGAGTGTTTGCTTATAGAAAGAGCCTTATTGCCGAGTCTTTTTTCAAGTGTAAAAAAAAGTCCCACATTGGAAGAAGAAGAGGCTAGAACGATCCCTGGACCAACCAAGCCCGCTCAGCGCTGCATCCTGCGTCCAGCGCCTATGTCCCGCCACTGTCACCGCCAGCATGCCCAAGAGAAAGGCTGAAGGGGATGCTAAAGGAGATAAAGCCAAAGGGAAGGATGAACCACAGAGATCTGCGAGGCTGTCTGCTAAACCTGCTCCTCCAAAGCCAGAGCCCAAGCCTGAAAAGGCCCCTGCAAAGAAGGGAGAGAAGGTATCCAAAGGGAAAAAGGGAAAAGCTGATGCTGGCAAGGAGAGGAATAACCCTGCAGAAAATGGAGATGCCAAAACAGACCAGGCACAGAAAGCAGAAGATTCTGGAGAGGCCAAGTGAAATGTGTGGATTTTTGATAACTGTGTGCTTATGGTGACTGCACAGTTTGAAATACTATTTTTTATCAAGTTTTGTAAAAATGCAGAATTTTGTTTTACTTTTTTTTTTAAGCTATATTGTTAGCATACAGAACACCTCATTGTTGTTTTTGGGGGAAGGGGCATATGTCACTAACAGAATGTCTCTGAAGCTGGATTGATGTGGGGACAACACCTTTCCCTTCTGGTTTTGAGAGACTTCCTCTTGGCTCTCAGGAGGAGGGATTCCCTGACTTTGACACGCGTGGTCTCTTGGCACAAAAGCCTCGTGGTACGGAAAAACAAATTCGTTTTTATGTCCTCTTCTCCCTTTCTATTTTTCAGCATAGACTTAACTCCCTTAAGCCCAGACATCTGTTGGGACCTGACCCCCAGTCATTGCTTACCAGTGTGTCAGGCAATCTGGACTTTCCAGTGATGCTGCTGAGATGGCATCTGTCAAAAGGGGCAGTGGTTCCATTTCTAGTTGGTGGATCTTCACATAAATTCTGCCATTTTCATTTCACTTTCTGAAAGTCAGGGTCGGCTTGTGAAAAGTTTTGTTAAAAACATGCTAAATGTGAAATGTCGACCCTCACTCTAAACGTTCCCTGTTCAGAGCGTCAGATGAAGACTTCATTGGTTTTTATAGTGGCTTTCTGATTTTTGGTAGTCCATTGAAGAAGGGAGTTTGAAAGTTGTATACTGTTAATGATTGTCTGCCCATGTCCTGCCTGAAATACCATGATCGTTTATGGAAAGTATCTTTAATAAAGCTGGATACAGTTTGGCTTGGAAAAAAAAATGTTCCACATCAATATAACTGGGAACACAATGAATAATCATTAAGAAGTATAACAAACATTTATGTGTGACATATGGACTTTCTAACTTCAAAACAGTTGGAATTAAAGACACGTTTAACATGACCATTAAAATGAAAATAGAACATTAAATTCTATATCGAAGGAAGGAGAAATAAGTAGAGCAAAATCTAAGCTAATGTTTTACCCTGACTTATGTATAAATTTCTCTGTAAGCTTCCTAGTGGTCAAGCTATGATGGCATAGGTTATAGGCTATAAACTAGAGAATTCTCATTATTTGCAAACAGAGAGATAAGTTCCTTGGGATAAAATATTTTAAGTTTTAAAAATATTTAACTTCAAAACTATCATGTAGTTAATTACACAAGAAATATTGAGCCACATATTTAACCATGGTTTCTGAAAGATAGATAAATATTATTCATATAGGTAATTTATATATTTTTCTTCAACAAAAGCCTAAATTGTAGTATTTAGATTTTATAGAGTAAGGTTTTTTTGTTTTGTTTTGTCTTTTGAGGGGGATGGGAGGTGGAGATTGTATTAGTAAGGATCCTTGCAGGAAAGAGAAGGTAATTTGAGTTGATAAAGGGACTCTTTACAAAGATATATGTAGGATGCAGGGAAACCATAAGGAATTGTGCAGTTCTGTGGGGCTAGTAACAAGGGATACTGTTACTCTCCTAGGTTTGAAAGGGATAAAGAGAAGATGCCATCACCAGAAGAGAACTTGGAGACAGAGACTGAGCAGAGAAGGCTCTTGGACAGGAGTAGTGACTTTTAGTCAAGAGATGAATCCAGCCTGTGGTACCCCCACAGAGAGCCAAGGAAATAAATACCTTTAACTTTCCACCCACTCCCTCTGATCTCTTGCTGGTACTTTTCATTGACTGAATTCAACTAGAAGCTAAGGGCAGGCACAGGGAGTCTGGTGGTGCTTGTTAGCCTTCTGGTGCAGAGAAAGGATGAAGAAAGGACATATGGAAGCTATCAAGCCAGGAGGACATACTGGAAATTGCAGAGCTTTATAGAGTTCACCCTTCCCCCATTTTGATAAGCGTCTCTGGGTAGAGCAGAAAGAGACTTGCCCTTCTGCCTTTCCCACTCAGACTTTGGTGGAGAATCACTGCAGTGTAATGAGAAATGGTCGTTCTGTTAGCTGCATGTAAGGAAAAAATGTTGCGAACCAATGATCTATAAGAAAGGACAATACCATTTTCCTTAAATGTTTCTTTTTCTCACACGGATTTTACATTGGAGCTAAGTCACAGCTCTGAAATAGAGAAATTTAATAGAATGTGAAGACACTCCTTACGTTTAGAATATCAGATGCATTATGAGTCAGTGCTCACAGGCAGAATTAGATAACCCTTGGGGAGAATAGATTCCCTTCCCCATGACCTGTGGGTAGATCTCACCCTATATGAAGGCGAATACACTAATAGGGGCCTCTGAGGACTATGTCTGGTGACCTGACATCTGGATGTTGCTTTGATTGCTCATAGATAAGTGCACCCCAAGCCCAGACAACTTGAAACCTATGTATCCCTATAGCGACAATAATTATAATAACAGCCAGGTCTACAAAGCCAACTGCATTGCCAATGAGGCCATTTAAAATATTGAAAGATACATTCTAGAACTTATGAAATCTCTGGCCTGATCTCCAATATTATATGTTCTCTCCAATTTGAAAATCTACCATTTAAAAAATAAAAACAAAATCAAGTATAAAAAATGTAAATACAGGTCTTATTTGTTTGTTTTTTTTTGTTTTGTTTTGTTTTTGGCAAAGAGTCTTTCTCTGTTGCCCAGGCTGGAGTGCCGTGGTGCAATCTCAGCTCACTGCAACCTCTGCCTCCTGGGTTCAAGCGATTCTCCTGCCTCAGCCTCCCGAGTAGCTGGGGCTACAGGCATGTGCCACCACGCCCAGCTAATTCTCATATTTTTAGTAGGGACAGGGTTTTGTCATGTTGGTCAGGCTGGTCTCGAACTCCTGACCTCAGGTGATCCACCCACCTTAGCCTCCCAAAGTGATGGGATGACAGGCATGAGCCACCACGCCTGGCCCACAGTTATATTTTTATACTTGAACTTTATAGAAATTCAAATGTTTCTTTTTTTATGCCAAAATATAAATATTTTTCAGACTTAATCGTGTGAATGGAAGATTGTTTGGTTCCAGCACAGCACTGAGGAGTAAATGGAATTTGTTGAATTCACATTCTGTATTATCTTCTTGTGCTGCTAGGGAAAGTAGTGACAGGTTGAAAAAGTTATTAACTTCTCGTGTGTATTAAGACAACACTTGAAGGCAACTGACTTTAGATAAGACAAAATAATCAGTATAGCCTGTGATGTTACTTTAGTTTAAATCCAGTGTGCTCTGAAGCTCAAACAGAGATAAAGAGCAAGAGTAGGATGAATGTTTTCATTGAAGTCCTAACTTCAAATATTGTGAGGGTCTCAGGAGATTATCCAGTCTATTTCCAGCCTTTGGCAGAATTACAGTTAAACCGGCTCAGGCAGATGGCAATCCATCTTATTCCTAAAATTGTCCACTCAAGGAATTCCACATAACTCTTTCCATCGTCCTTTTTATAACCGTATTTTTCTTTAAACCCTCAGGGAATATGCATATAACAAATGGAAAGCATAAAGTAAAGTACATATGACCCTCTTCTCATCATGAAGGGGGCAGAATTATACGCTAGTATCTATGATGATTTGTAAACAATACCAGTCCTAGACAAATCTCTCTTCTTTATCCAACCTCACAAATATTCTGCCTCTCTAAGTAGCCCTTGTCCCTTTGCCCCTCTTGTTTTCCTTTGTTTCCTCCTTTCTCCCCTGGTTCAGAATGCCTAGGAGAGTTTGTATACGATTCCTAACGCCCTAGAAATAGGAAAAGCAATCATGCCTCAGGCCATAGGGATGTTGTCAGCACCATGGACAGCGGCTTATCGGGCTCGCAAGCGTTGTACAGAGGTATAACTTGCCAGTAGAGTATGTTGATGACCTTTTTAATATCTTTGAAAGTCTTCATCAATTAATTCCCCTTCTCTTCTTAGCCTTCTATTTTATTGAGGTAGATGACGTTAAGACTTCAACTTTTCGGTGCAGGCAGAGGAGCCCACATCTCAGTAGTCTATGACAAGGAGGGGCTGACGGGACGTAAACTCATCTAGGCCTGCTGAAGTTAATTCATCACTTGGCCCTAGGGTTCAGGGAGCAAAATACAGAAGGCAATGAAGAACAATGGAATCAACAAGAGAGGTAACTCCTCTCTTCTCTTGCAGATGCCTCAATTAAATCTATTTCACAAAGGATTAGTGGCCCCTAAAATATGCAATTATGCCATTCTTCACATCCCCTATTTTACTGGTTAGAAAACATTTGTTGTAACTTTACATCCATTAAAAATTAGCTATTCAGTCTTGGCTATGTCACCTAAAATCTCTGTCTAATCTTGGAGAAAATTTCACAATACTTCTCAAAATTTTAAATGCACATATTTTTTGACCCTACAACTCCAACACAGAAATGATTCAACAGGCTGGCATGGTGGCCCACACCTGTAATCCCAGAACTTTGGGAGGCCAAGGTGGCAGGATCACTTGAGAGAAGCCTGGGCAACATAGCAATACCTCATCTCTACAAAAAATTTTTAAAAATTAGCTGGGCATGGTGGCACATGCCTGAAGTTCCACCTGCTCAGGAGGCTGAGATGGGAGGATTCCTTGAGCCCAGGGGTTTGGTGCTGCAGTGAGCTATGATCACACAACTGCACTCCAGCCTGGATGACAGAGTGAGACCTTGCCTCTTAAAAGAAAAAAAATACATCAATATAAGACTGTTTAAATAAAGTATAAGTTTATACAATCAAATATTAAGAAGTCATAAAGTGGAAATTCACTATATACTCATATGAAAGATCTCCAGGATATATTAAGTTTAAAAAATCTGGGTTCAGAACAACAACTATATTAACATATTATATAAAAAGAAGAAAAATCATGTATAGCCATCTGTACTAAGCATACAATATCTCCAGGAGGATATATGTTAGAAATAAGAAATAGCAGTTTCTTCTAGGAAGGGAAATTGGGTGGATAGAGGTGAGAAGTGGAGGGGAGTTTTTTTCACCATACACCTTTATGTACTTTTGGAATTTTGAATAATGTGAATTCATCAACTATATAAAAATGAATAAATAAATTTAAATAAAAATGGAATAAATTATCTGTGACTCAGTTTCTTTCTCTGCGAAATGGATATAGTCATATCCATTTGATTGTCCTGAGAATCAAATAGAATAGTGTATGTAAAGGTGTTTTGAAAAATATGCATTCTTCATATATGATGTTTATTGCTAGTATTTTAGTAATGTATGGACAGTTTAAGTTCTCCACACGCCTCCTAAAGTTTGGAGTTTAGAATTGAACATAACTGTGAAATAATGATAATAAAAAGTGAATTAAATATTTGTGAGGTATTTTAGACTTTTTCACTGTAGTGTGGCTATGATACAAAAATAACTTTATCCTGCACTTCCTTTTGCAGTCTTTTCCTTCATGTAGTTAGAAGAATTTTTGCCTTTTAATAATGGGTACTTTTCAGCTGCCTCAAAAGAAGGTGAAGCATGCTCAAGCTGATTGGAAGGGCTTAATGAGATTATTCAGTAACTTGTAGAAAACTGCAGTGCATCAGAAAAGGGAAAACAGCTGGATCATTAAAATGCTTGTGGAACCCACTGTGACACTGGAATGGGAAATCCTTTGATGGATATGGAGAAGGAAGAAACACTATACTTTCTGGGAAAAAAATTTTGGGAGTCTTGTTACAACATATTTAAAAAATAATTTTAAAAAGTCAGTTTAGAAGGGTTTCTTGTCAGTCCTAAAAGACAAAAGGAGATTTGAAAGGTGGTAGTACCCCTAAAGCGATGTGTTTTGGAAAAAGGAACTCGTTTCCCACATTCCAAGGGGTCCCCTGAGACCATCCTACACCTCATTAAGTACATGAACAAGCATGAGACTTGGAACCTCTGTAGAGACTTCTGGCCTAGCCTGGCAGAAAAAATGATGAGAGATTTGTGGGCTTTATGAGGTGGATCACAGCACAATATAAAACCAAAACAAATCACCTCGGGCCCTACCAAGGGAGAAGACTATTAAAAGAGGAAAATAAACCCACCATCTCAGTTCATTTTTTTCTCCTAAGGAATATTTTTTTTTTCTCCACACATTTGTGCCAAGAGAATCCAATTTATTTTCAGAATGTCTTCTTCTTTTCCCTTCTTTCTTTTCCTCCCTGCGCTATTCCTCCTTTCTTTTTCCTTCTTCTCCTCCATTCTTTTTCTTTCTCTTTTTCCTCCTCCTCTTCTCCTTGTTCTTCTTCAGTACTAGGAGTTAGCAAACTTTCCCTGTTAAGAGCCAGAAAGTTAAATATTTCAGGCTTTGCAGACCAACCTGTCTCTTGCAACTACTCAACTCTGCCCCATGTAGTGCAAAAGCAGCCTAACATGACATAAACAAATGGGCAAGCTATGTTCCAGTAACACTGTGTAAAGACAAGCTGTCGGTCAAATTTGTCCCTCATAACGTAGTTCATCTGCCCTTGTTCTATGTTATTATAGTTTAAATAAAGTTCACAGTGTAGCAGGACAAGCTGCAGACAAAATCCCTCAGACAGCGAGTTAAAGAAGGAAGGGTTTTATTCGGCCAGGAGCTTCGGCAGCACTCACGTCTTCAAGAACCGAGCTCCCCGGGTGAGCAATTCCTGTCCCTTATGATGGCTTACAACTCTAAGGGGGTCTGCGTGAGAGGGTCGTGATCGATTGAGCAAGCAGGGAGTACGTGACTGGGGGCTGCATGCACCGGTAATCAGAACGCAACAGAGCAGGACAGGGATTTTCACAATGCTTTTCCATACAATGTCTGGAATCTATAGATAACATAACCGGTTAGGTCAGGGGTCAATCTTTAACGAGGCTCAGAGCGCGGCGCCGGGCTGTCTGCCTGTGGATTTCATTTCTGCCTTTTAGTTTTTACTTCTTTATTTGGAGGCAGAAATTGGGCATAAGACAATATGAGGGGCGGTCTCCTCCCTTAACAGAAGAGATATAATCATCACTGTTAGGGACAACAGAGTAACTCTCTGGAAGAAAATACATTTGTACCCATACCTCACACTTCTTTAAAAAGCTCAAAGGTGATTTTTAAAAAAAGAGTAAATAATAACAAGACTAGAAAAGAACATAGAAAATTATTTTAATACATCAAAATAGGGCAAAAATCTCTTAAAATTATTTTAAAATGATAGATTCAAGTCTGGAGACAAATGACAAGCTGGAAAAAATATCTGCAACTCATGTCACAGATAATAGAATAACCTCCTTAACATATTAATTTCTATGAATCAATAAGAAAAGTAAACAAGCACTCAGAAGAAAGGTGGGACAATGTCTGGAATTCACAGCAAAGGAAATACAAATTGTTGTTAAATATTTTAAAAGAAATGTTCTACATCATTCATAATAAGAGACACACAAACTTATACTTAAATACCATTTTCGCACATCAGATAGGCAAAAATCCAGATATTTGATAAAACACTGGGTTGACAAGGCCTTCCTTTATATTGTTGGTGAAATGTAAATTGATATGGAGGGCAAC